ACCATCGGTGGCCGGGATTTCAGCTTCTCAGTCTCCACACTCTGGAACTCCATCCCACGGTCCCTTTGCCTCGCTTCCTCCCTTGCCTCCTTCAAGGCCGGTATCAAGACCCTTCTCTATGGTCGTGCCTTCAGTCGCACTCCCACCTCTCTGCCTTCCTTCACCCCAACCCCACCCCTCCCCCATGCTCAGATCCTGATCCCTGACTGTCCAGCGGCTTGGGACGTCCTTCCAATATGAAAGGCGCTCCATAAATGTAATTTTGTTGTTGTTGTATGTAAAACAGAGGATACAATCCATCAGATGGGATAATTTGAAGACTTCTCACGAACAGTTACTTTTCTCTGTGGAACGAACTGTGCCATCAGACAAGAATTTGTATTCAGAGTCTTGGAATGTCCTCTTGCCGTGAAAGGCGCTATATAAATGCAAATGGTTGTTCTTTGTTGTACTGGTTCAATCGAATACACACTGGCTTGTGACTCACAAGATTGTGTGGTTTCACACTGTAATTAGTAATAATAATGACAATAATCCCAAGTGATTACAACGTACAAAATAAGGAACTAAAGAAAATCAGGAAATATATCAATCTACAAAGTGACTGTGGATGTATGTGAGAATGTAAAACAAACATAGCTCCTGTCATCATCAGTATAACTGGGACTGTTAAGACTATTAAGAAACGGCTTTACAACATACCTGGTGAACAAAATATCATCCTCCTGCAAAAGGTAACTGTTTTTGGAAGCTCAAAACTACTAAGAAAAGTAACATCCATTCATCTGCAACGTGGCAGTGTTATTGGTCTGGCTGAGCATCACTGAAAACCATTTAGAAATTACCTCTACAGGGTGGTTTAAACTGTAATAACATAATAATAATAATAATCTTTGGCATAGCACCTTTCTTGATGAGTATGTCTCAAAGAACTTCACAAGATTTAATGTAAAGTGTAGTGACTGTATGTTTTGTACGTGAATGCAGCAATGTCCCACAAACAACCATGAATCAAACAACAACAACAAGATTACATTTGTATAGCACCTTTCACGTTGGGAGGATATAAGGCGCTGGACAGTGTACAGCATTTAAGACCCGAGCTGGTTATACAAGTGATTCCACCTGGGGGATTGTTGTCAAGGACCAGAAGAAACTCCCTTCTCTTTTCCAATAGTGACACGAGATCTTTAAGATTCACCTGAACAGGCAGACGGGACCCTGGGTTTAATGTCTGATCTGAGGACGGCACCTCTAAAAATGCAATGTTCGCCTCAGGACTACACTGGAGCCTCCGCCTCGACTGGGAGCTTAACGTCCCAAAGTGGAGCTTAACCCCACATCCTTTTGACTTAGCGGTGAGAGTGCTACCAAGTGAGTCAGGATGCCACCTTCCTTAGTTAATATCACAGCCTGGGCAGTGCTGGACATTGTTGAAGGGGTTGTCCTTTGGATGAGATATTAGGCCAAGGTCTTTCTTCCTGGAAGTCGCTACTTGCTCCACGCTCGGCCCCCGCTCGGCTGGCTCCAGCCTCCTGTTTGTCCCTCGTCCCCTTCACTCCACCATCGACGGCCATGCTTTCAGCCACTACACTCCGAAACTATGGAACTCTCTAACTCAAACCTTCCACCTCACTCCCTCCTTCCGCTTTTTCAGGCACGCCTAAAGATCTTCCTCTTCGGCTGTTCTTACTGTCACCTCTTCCCCCCACCCACCACCGGCTTGGCGTCAGGCTGCACCACTGCTGAGCACTCTGAGTGGCGCTGTGTTAATACAAGTTGTTGTTGTATTTGAAAAGAGAAAGGAGTTCTTTCAGGCTTAAGATCCTCCTGATAAATTAATCATTCACTTTATGACTGCTTTTGGGACGATGCTCTGTGTAAATTGATTGCCGTGTCTGCCTCCAAATACACAGTCACTACATTTGACAGCAATCACTTATGACAGTAGGACCACTTACCTGTGTAAAGCTTGAAAATGTTTCCACGTTACCGATGCTGTATATAACTGGCATCCACACAGTGGCTTTCATGTGAGAATAAACATCTCAAAGTACTTTACAAAACAGAAGTGATTACAAACCCGAGTGGACTTTTGTAGAGTCAAAAGCGACAACAGCAACAGTGAGGTGAGGGGTGGATTATAAACAAAACACAAAATGCTGCAGATGCTGGAAATCTGAAACAAAAACAGAAGTCGCTGGGAACACTGAGCTGCCTGACCTGCTGAGGGTTCCCAGCGACTTCTGTTTTTGTTTGAGGGGTGGATTATGATGGACAGAGCACAGTTTCACTGTGGGTTGAGGTGAGACCCCGACGTTTACTCACCAAACACTTCACAGTCTTAATCACTTAGAAAATCCTCTGGAGATGCTGAAATGAGAGTGAATCAATGGAGATTGACACCTGGGTTCTGGGCAACTTGGAGACCCAGTTATTGATTGAGTCCAATGCCAGCCCTGCCCCTGCCACAGGCAGTGCTCCTCTTGCTCCAACCATCAATATTTTACAAGATGGTTGAGGTAAGGACAAGATGGCACATAGCATTAACCCAATCCCTGGAGATGTACAGATATTAGTTGACTCTTCACTCACTGTGTCAAAAAAGTCTGAGGCAGCAATAAACTAGGCAAACTGGGCCAGATGCTAAATCAGTGGCGTTCCGAATGTCAGGCTATACATTGCTCTGGTCAGATCGCACCTTGAACACTGCACACAGCTCTGGTCACTATGACATAACGGGCTGCCCAGGCCATAGAGACAGTGCAGAGGATGATCCCAGTGTTAGAGGAATGAGCTATACCACTAATTATGGAGTCCTGTAGCTCAAGGGTTAGAACACTCGCCTCACAAGCGAGAAACCTGGGTTCGATTCCAAGGCAGGGCGAAATATTGGGCAAGTTTTCTTACTGCACACGACTGTTTAAGCAGTAAGTCGGAACCTAGTTGTTAGTCGATTGGCGGTTCACTTTTCCGAGGGTAATAATTCCTTAAAAAACATAATAAATTTGTGGGACACCCCTGTGTACAATTGGCTGCCCCGTTTTGAAGACATATTAAGGCGTTATATCAATTGCAGTGGTTATTATTAATGTAATTGTTATTATTGTCACTATTATTAATCCTATCCAAAGTACAAAGTGAATACAACACAGTTGACATCACACTGCATCTTTCACCTCGGGGCGACATCTGTGTGAAGCACTTTGAAAAGATGTCCTGCTGATGTGAAAGGTGCAATATAAATCTAAATTGTATTGCATCCACTTTGCAGATCCAACGTTGTGGTAACTTGGATACGAATAGACAAGAAACCCCAGACCTACACTGTACAGTTCAGTGCCCGAGCCACAGATTGTTTTTTTGACCTGAGGCAATTGTGGTCGATGGCATCCATTATTAAGAGGTCAGACTTCCAGTCAGGGGCCAAGAACTGAAACTGCAAACGCCAATAATTATAATAATAACAATCCTTCCATTTGATACAGCACTTTAATCACATTAAAATGCTTTGATAGCCTATCTCGGTGGGTAGCACTCTCGCCTCGGAGTCAGAAGGTTGAGGGCTCAAGCCCCACTGACGCAATGGGGGAGCACTGCATTGTCACAGGTGCTGTCCTTCAGATGAGACGTAAAACCAAATCCTGCCTGTACCACTTCAAGTGGATATTAATAATAATCCCTCCAAAAAAAAACAACAGTGAATTGGTCATTTTCAGTTCATGACTGTTTGTGGGACACTGTTGTACGCAGTTGGCTGCCGTGTTTCGCCCACAGATATACGGTCAATTCACTTTACAGCATATTCTGTGAAGCGCTTTGAGAAGTCTGGAAGACATGAAAAGCGCTATATCAAATGCAAGGATTATTATTATTATTATTATTATTAAAGTTCCTGTGGCAAAACCCAAAAAGAGAAGGGAGTTTGCAAACACAAAGGCTTTTCTTGTGAAGTTCAAGGCACAGTGTCAAATGCCAGGATTATATTTACTTCAAGCACTTCACTCCTGTGTCTTGTCTATTTGTATATAAATCCTCGAGCCACTTTTCACACAGCAACACCCTAAGAAAAACAACAGCTTACATTAATATAGCGCCCCCTGCGCTGGGTATAGTCCTGAGGTGAATCTGACAACTTGTTTCAGCTCTTCTGTAGTCACATATTGCTGCTTTGTAACAGAGGGGTAACAGGACTTTGTGGACACTCTGTAGTTACTGAGAGTCAGGAGTTGTGCTTTGAGAAGCCGCCTTTCCCATCAGCAGGACATTTTAAACCATTTCACAAGATTTCACTGTAACGTGCTAACTGTGTTGTTAGTACATTACAGTGCTAATAATAGTTAAAATACGGCAACCGATTTGCACTCAGCAGCGTCCCACAAACAGCCACAAAGTGAATGACTGATTCTATTTGGGGGAGGAGACCGCCCCTTTTCTTTTGAAATTGTGCCCTGGGATTATTATCGTCGACCCTGGGATTATTAACGTCCAGTTGTAAAGTCTAATCTGAAGGACAGAACCTCCAACAATGCAGCGCTCCCCCAGCAATACACTGGAATGTCGGTCTAAATTGTGAGCTCAAAGTCCTGAAGTGGGGCTTGAACCCACAACCTTCTGGCTCAGTAGAGAGAGTGCTAACAAATGAGCCAGGCTGACACCTATAACTAATATTCCAATAGAAATTCCAAATTTTGAATAGAAATTCTGGTCAGACTCCAGCAGTTACCCCAACGCACACTCTGGGGTCCCCAAACCTTGGCTCTTGCCAACCTACACCTAATATTTTCTGGAATTATGTAAGCAGGATGTGTCCCTCCAGGGAGAGGGAGAGAGAGCGCATTCCATTCCAACAACCTATCTCTGGGATTTCCATGTGCAGGTGAGAGACATGGAATTCTCAGTTTGGTTTGGATACTCTTAAGCACGGTGATGGGTTTCCGCATGTGTCAGACGCCCGGCTGAGCAAAAAAGATTCCAAACGGGATAAAGAGGAGACTCACGGTTGTGGCATACTGGATGTCCTTCCAGATAGAAGTCTCTCTGGAGAGATCGGACACTTCAAAGAGGTTGTCCAATATCACCTCGCCAATCATGTCGTGCCTGGAAAACCGGTCAAAGTCAAAGACACTGAAGTGGAGCTTCCTGTTTGTGAGTTCGTCATAAGACACAGGGAACTGGAAGCTCTCATCGAAGGTTGGGTTGAGCGTCTTTCTGTGCACTCTGGTCTGGAACTTCTTTTTCCGATCGGGCAGGAGGTAAATCTTGACATAGGGGTCAGAGCTGCCACAGAAATCCTTGATGGGCAGATCGAAGGCTTTGAGGATGGTCACTATCAGCATCTCGCTCTCAAGGTCATACTTCAGGGTGAAGTTGATTTTGCCGCAGGTTTTCCCGGCTTCTTTCCTGGGATCCTCCGAGTCCACCGACTTCTGCTTGTATAGCTCCGGCTTGATGCGACCGATGCTAGTGGCTTGTTCATTGTACGGCAGAGTCTCCGAGCTGAAGTCAACGCTCGACACGTGCATCTGCCGCGGCAAATGGCGTTTAAAGGAGCTGTGTCTGCAGGGGCAATAATGATAGATAACTAATAATAATCACTATTGATAACTAATAATCCTCATTAATAACTAATAATGATTGATAACTAATAATCATGATTAACAAGTAATACTAATTAATAGCTAATAATAATTATTAACTAATAATAATTAATGTGAATACTCATTATTAATTGTGAACATTTAATAACTAATATCAAGTAATATGAAATGAATTGACTGTGTATTTTGTGACCTACTCGAACCTTTACCAACCTGTCCACTCCCTCCACTCAGCGGGCACGAACCTGCTCCATGTCCCCCGCCCTCCCCGCTCCACTCTTTGGGGTCTGGCCTTCAGTCTCTTGGCCTCACCCCCTCACTTGCCTCCTTCAAGGCCCATCTCAAGACCTTCCATTACGATTCTTTTGATCATCTGCCCTGCACCCCTCTTGGTTATAAACCCCAGTTCAGGTACAAACCCTCCACTCTCTAGCACTTGGGACAGCCTCTTGACATGAAAGGCGCTGTATAAATGCAATTTATTATTATGTAAAACTCATGTCTTTCAGGCATGAGTTTTCCTCTTTATAAACAGTTTCCAATCCTTTGGCAAGCAGACCAGTGCTCGTACCTTATAGTGAAGGGGCTTCTCTTTTGGAAAGGCAAAACAGACTTGATAGACTGAATCGCCTGTTCCCTTGTTACAGCCAAGTTGGTAGCATTCTCACCTCTGTTGTATTTATATAGCGCCTTTCACATCAGTGCCTTGGGATGTCCCCCTGACGCAAAAGGCGCTATACAAATCTTGTTGGTTTTGCTGTTGTTTTTGTTGTGAGTTCACATCCCATGTTAAGATTTTGAACCCACAGTCTAGGCACAGTGTTGGGGTGTGCACTGTATTATCAGAGGTGCCGTCCTTTGGATGAGACATTGAATCATAGTCCCATCTGCTTGTTCAGGTGGACGTTAAAGATCCCATGACACTATTTCAGCAAGGGAAGGGTGTTTGCTGACCAAAACACTGGGAGAAACTCTCTTCTCTTTTTGTAAAATGTCACCTCAACTCCCGCCGTGTTACTTGATTCCAGAACTTTCTGACCCAGCGACAAGAATGTTATCACCTGAGCCGGCCTGACACATCAGTGAGGACATCAGTCACGTAGCATTTAAGTGGTAATTGTCTGTCTGACAAACAGCAGGTTCCCAAGGCCTGTGACTTGCCTCGTGGGCATTTGTGGTCAGAATACATATCAGTGCCTGCCTGACTGATCAATATGTTAGTATCTCTCACTCTCAGGGATGAGCGCTGAATCCTAGATTAGAATTGGAATTCTGTTCAGTTATACTCAGGAGAGAGAGGAGCAATAATAATAATAATAATAATCGATGCATTTGATGAAGCACCTAAAATATTAACACATCTCAGACTGCTTCACAGTGAATTTCTGTCCCCTGTCGTGAATGTGTATTTCCAGGTAAATGCAGCAATGTCCCACAAACAGCTATGAAGTGAGTGACGAATTGTCGACAATGACACAGGGAGAGAGAGAGAAACGCCCTTCACTTTTTGAATAATGCTGTGGGATCTTTAATGTTTGTCTGAAGGATGGGACCTCCACCAACACAGTGCTCCCCCAGTACTGCATTGCAGTCTCGGCCTGGACCATGTGGGGCTTGAACCTGCAAACGTCTCACTCAGAGACAAGAGCACAACCGACTGAGCCGGGCCGCAACTCACTCACAGGCCTTCAAACAAAATGTGTCAACTCGAGGCTTCCAGCCACGGTGACTAAATAATAATAATTATCTTGCATTTGATATAGCGCCTAATCACGTCTTCAAGACATCTCAAAGAGCTTCACAGGATATACTGTAAAGTGTAGAGACTGTATTCTGTGGGTGGAACATGGCTGTCAGTGTCCCACAAACAATTGTGGATTGAGTGACCAAATTTTATTTTGAAGGGATCATTATCCCCGGAATGCGATCCGCCAATCAACTAAGAACCGGATTCCTACTGACTGCTGGTAAACAGAGGCGTGTGTGTGGAGTAAGGAAACTTTTTGTCCAACATTTCGCCCTGTCCGGGAATCAACCCAAGCTCCTCTCGCTTGCGAGGCAAGTGCTCTAACCAATCAACACAAGTAATGGCTCAACACAGGCAGCTGTGGAGACGAGGGCGAGTGAGTGAGTGAGTGAGTGAGTGAGTGAGTGAGTGAGTGAGTGAGTGAGTGAGTGAGTGAGTGAGTGAGTGAGTGAGTGAGTGAGTGAGTGAGTGAGTGAGTGAGAGAGCGCTGACCTGGAGGAGGAGGCAGGCTCTGTGGTCTGTCGCTGGATGCGTGTGTGCCGCAGCATGTGGTCGCGCATGGACAGCTGGACCTCGGCCGGGATGTCTGGAGACGTGTGGCTGATCTTCATGGCAGCCTCCAGGAAGCTGAAGGACGGGGACTGCTTGGGTTTGTCCGTCATCTCGCAGTGCTGGTCAGTGTCTGCCACGGTTAGGGTACCGCCAGTCACCCACGTGCTGCTGAAGTGAGGCTTGTTCTTCCAGGGGATCCAGCACAGCTTCCAAAAGACAAAGAGAGAGATTGCCACCAGCCCCAGCCCGCACAGCACCACTATCACTGCCAACAGGCTGACCGAGATATCTGGGAGCGGAGAGAGAGAGACACACACACACACAGACGGACAGAGAAAGAGAGAGACAGAGATAGTGAGAGATAGAGACAGAGAGAAAGAGACAAAGAGATACAGAGTGAGAGAAACAGAAACACAGAGAGAGAGAAGCAAGGAGAGAAAGAGGCAGAGAGAGACAGAAAGTGAGAGAGAGTGTCAGAGAGAGAGAGAGAGAGAACGAGGCAGAGAGAGAGAGCCAGAAAGGGGGAGAGGCAGAGGGTGAGAGACAAGGAGAGAAAAAAAGAGATACAGAGAGAGACAGCAAGAGAGAGCGTCAGAGTGAGAGACAGAGAAGAGAGGCAGGGAGTGAGGAAAGCAGACACACACACACACACACAGGACACACACGTGGGAACAAGAGAGAGAGAAGAAATGGTGGTGAGGTAGTGTTTGACAAAGCCGCACAGCTCTTCATTATAACAAAGCACGAGTAAGCGCAACAGGAACCGAGTCACCCAGATACCATGAGGATCCCTTTCCCAATCTAACGGCACCCGCAACAATGTGCACTTTATTACAATAATAATCCTTGGATTTGATCTCACACCTTATCACGTCGTTGAGACGTCTCAAAGCGCTTCACAGATTGTATTGTAAAACAGTTTGACGTGTATTTTGTGGGTAAAACGCGGCAGCCAATTGCATACAGCAGTGACCCACAAACAGGCGTGGACTGAGTGGCCAAATTTCATTTGGAAGGGATTATTACCCCCCCCCCCTCAACGTGGGGGCTTGAACCTGCAGCCTGGCGACCTGGAAGCCAGAGGACGCTGAAAAAAATGATAGTTTTATGTCATTGAAACGACCGGGGGAGACATGACAAGAAAAGATTAATTGCAACACAGCCGCCAACAATTGAACCGATTCCCATCAAAGTGTCACACGGCTGATCACAGAGAAACGGACATGACATGTAATGACATGTGGCCTCCCCAGCAGCCCCCACCTTCCAATACAGCAGCTGCCATGAGGGGTGGGATATTGTTCGGGGGGTGGGAATGTGGGGGTGGGATTTTGGGTGGGTGGGAGGGGGATGTTGAGAGCTGCCACAGCAACTCGGCTGGACTGAGGGAAGCCATGATATTGTTGAGGAACGGAGGAGAGATGGAGCAGTAGGAGATGTTTGCGACAATTAAAACTGGTTGTGGATTGGCCAAGAGAATGACTTCACAGTAAGTTACAGGTTCCTCTTTAATTATCCACAATTATTGGCACCCACACAGTCACTCGCCATCACGGAAACAAGTATTGAGAGAAAACCCACGTTTACAGCTGCTTCATTGTTGTGCTTCTGACAAGCCGGTGGGTTAACGCTTGGAGACATTAAACAGCAACTTGCATTTACACAGCGCCCTTCACGCAGGATAGTGTCAGAGATCACTTTATATTAAACAGTATAGTGAAGGATAGTACTCTCAAACTCCTCCCTCCCTCCTTCCTTCACTCACCCACCCACTCCCTCACCCATTCTCTCCCTCTCTCCCACATTCACTCTCACTCACTCACTCACTCACTCACTCACTCACTGAGATACCCACTGACCCACTGACTCATTCCACCTACTCACTCACTCACTCACTCACTCACTCACTCACTCACTCACTCACTCACTCACTCACTCACTCACTCACTCACTCACTCACTCACTCACTCACTCACTCACTCACTCACTCACTCACTCACTCACTCCACTCACTCACTCACTCACTCACTCACTCACTCACTCACTCACTCACTCACTCACTCACTCACTCACTCACTCACTCACTCACTCACTCACTCACTCACTCACTCACTCACTCACTCACTCACTCACTCACTCACTCACTCACTCACTCACTCACTCACTCACTCACTCACTCACTCACTCACCACTCACTCACTCACTCACTCACTCTCACTCACTCACTCACTCACTCACTCACTCACTCACTCACTCACTCACTCACTCACTCACTCACTCACTCACTCACTCACTCACTCACTCACTCACTCACTCACTCAATTAACCTACCCACTCACCCACCCACAGGTTTAATGTCTCATCAGAAGGACAGCTCCTCCGACAACGCAGTGCTCCCTTGTTTCTGACAGTATCAAATCAAGAATAAAAAAGGATCAGATTTCCTGGAAGCTGAACAGTTGTCAGTTCAAGATTTATTCTACCAAATCCAGTGCCCGTGACTACAGGTTGAAAGACGTCTTAATGTTTTTACCGCCTCCGTGGGATGTTCTACACCAATCTCATTAAGTTAGACACAGCATTAATAGGCAGCATTTCTCACCTTCCTTTTTATGAGATGAGAATGTGTTTTAATTTATTAACACAAATTACATTAAATAGAAACAAAGAGGAATGGAGTCAGAAAGTGTGAGGGTGTGTGTTGGAGATAAAGTCAGACATCGAGTCAGTGAGAGAGAGAGGAAATGAGAGAGAGAAGGAGAAAGTCAGAGCCAACCAGAAAGTGTGTGTTCATAGGAGAAAGAGAGAAAGACAGAGTGAGAGAACGAGAGAAAGAGAGAGAGACAGACTGTGAGAGGTAGAATCTGAGTGAGGTTGGGGGTGCGGGATTTGTGCCCCGCCTAGTGTGAGTGGGCACAGCATGCCGACCACAGCCATGATAGTACTGCCAAGCCCTGCCCATGCCTGCTGGCTGGATACCTCTCGTGTTGGCAGGTGAAGGGCTGGTCAGTAACCAGGGCTGAGCTGGCACTGCCAGCTGGGTACACAGTCAGGCACAGGAGAGCAGCCACAGTAACACAGTAACAGCAACAACAACAACAAGATTCCATTTATAGAGCGCCTTTCATGTTGGGAGGACTTCCCAAGGCGCTGGACAGACAGAGTTATGGACCGGAGCTGGGGGTCGGGGTGGGGGAGGGGGGAGGAAGCAGGGAGAGTGAAAGCACGGTCGAAGAGGAGAGTCTTGAGGTGGGCCTTGAAGGCGGCGAGGGAAGGGGCGAGGCGGAGGGAGTGCAGGATGGAGTTCCAGAGTGGCGGAAGGCCCGCCAATAGTGGGACAAGTGAGGCGGGGCGCGTGAAGCAGCCCGGAGCCCGCTGAGCGGAGGGAACGAACAGGGTGGTAGGGGGTTAGGAGGTCACAGAGGTTGGGGGGAGCAAGATCGTGGAGGGCTTTGAAGCTGAGGACCAGGATCTTGAACTGTACCCTCTGTGTGATGGGAAGACAGTGGAGTTGGGCGAGGATGGGGGTGATGGGGTCATGGAGCCTAATGCGGGAGAGGACACGGGCTGCAGAGTGCTGATGAGGGAGGAGTTGGGGAGGCCGACAAGCAGGGAGTTTGCATAGTCGAGCCTCGATGTAATGAAGGTGTGTGTGAGGGTTTTGGTGGCCTGCGGTGTGAGACAGTGGCGGAGCCCGGCGACGTTGCGGAGGTGGGGAAGGCAGAGCGGGTCATGGCACAGATGTGGGATAGAAAGGATAGTTGAGGGTCAAACAAGACCCCAAGGTTCCGGACTGGCTCAGTGAGGGGGAGTGAGCCCCATCGATGGTGATGCTGTCAACGCCTGAGGTGAGGAGGCGCTGAGGTGAGGAGGAACCAATTAGGAGAGTCTCGGTCTTGTTGACATTTAACTGAAGAAAGTTAACTCTCATCCAGGACTTGATGTCTGACTGACATTCTGTCAGGACAGCAGTGGGTCCTGGAGTCGGGGGGAGGCAGAGAGGTAGAGTTGGGTGTCATCTGCACACATGTGGAAGTTGACCCCATGTCTGCGGATGATGTCACCGAGAGGGAGCAGATAGATGTTGAAGAGGAGGGGACCAAGGACAGAGCCCTGAGGAACGCAGCATGAGACAGTCCGGGGGTGGAGGAGAAGCTGTTTGAGGAGATGAAGTGCAGGCGGTGTGAGAGGGACAATCGGAACCAATCAAGGACAGCGCCGTGGAGGTTGAGGTGAGAGGAGAGTCAGTGGATGAGGACAGAGTGGTCGACGGTGTCGAAAGCAGCAGAGAGGTCGAGTAGGATGTGGAGGCAGAGGGAGCCCTGGTCGTAGATGGACAAAATGTCATTTGTCACTTTGACCAGAGCTGTTTCTGTGCTGTGGGCGGCACAATAACACACAGTAACACAGCAACACAGCAACACAGCAACACAGTAACATAGTAACACAGCAACACAGCAACATAGTAACACAGCAACATAGTAACACAACAACATAGTAACACAACAACATAGTAACACAGTAACACAGCAACACAGCAACACAGTAACACAGCAACACAGCAACATAGTAACACAGCAACACAGCAACACAGCAACACAGTAACACAGCAACACAGCAACACAGCAAGACAGCAACACAGTAACACAGCAACACAGCAACATAGTAACACAACAACATAGTAACACAACAACATAGTAACACAACAACATAGTAACACAACAACATAGTAACACAGTAACACAACAACATAATAATAATAACAATCCTTGCATTTGATATAGCGCTTTTCACGTCGGGAGGACGTCCCAAAGCGCTTCACAGAACACACTGTAAAGTGAATTGACTGTATATTTGTGGGCGAACGCGGCAGCCAATTGCGCACAGCAATGTCCCACAAACAGTCATAGATTGAAAATGACCAATTTATTATTGTTTTGGGTTTTGGAGGGATTATTATTAGGCTCTGTGTGGAGTAAGGAAACTTGCCCAAGGTTTCGCCCTCTGCCTGGAATTGAACTCAGGTCTCTCGCTTGCAAAGCGAGTGCTCTAACCACTGAGCTACAGGACTCCGCTAGTAACACAGTAACACAACAACACAGTAACACAGCAACACACAGGAGAGCAGCCCCCGGGAACAGTGAGAACAGGATCCCAGTGCAGAACAGTAAATGCTGTGAAGTGCTTTGGGCCATTTGAGATGTATCGATGCCTGGATTATTATTATTAATTATTATTAAGTTATTACACTTTAAATCACTCTGTGGAGGTAATCTCTAAATGGTTTTC